TTCCATCTGTTTATCCACCCAGGCACACTAAATGCTAACTACTGTGCCAGAAGCAGAAGACACAAAAAGGAAAATGACATCATTCTAGTCCTTAAAGAGTTCCCAGTTCAGTGAAGGAGAAAGACAAATAAGTAAAACCTTCCTTTTTCCTCCTTACTTTCCTTTTAAATTCCTTTTTCTTAAATATTATTCCATCTATCCTTATATTTATCCATTTCAGCTCAACTCAGTGAGTCAGAAACAAAGGAAGACACTTTCTATATCCAAAGCTCTTAGAATTAAGTTCAGATAAGTACACAAATTCCTTGCTAGTGCAATCCAGCTGTTGCCTCTGGATAATTCCAGGTCTTCGAGCCTTCTGGGGTCACTCTTTCATTAGATACTCCAACTAAGCTCCTAATACACTGAGCTCCTATTCTTCATTCCATGGGAAGCGCTGTCTCTCTCAACATCTCCAAGGACTTCCACTGGGGCTAAATTTCTCCTGATTACCTTTTACTTTTATGCGCTACTCTCCTATGTTTTTGAAACTCCCTGTGTGTCTTGCCTCTCGTGGTTGACTGCTCCTCCCTTGTCCCTCCATGGCCCGGTACCTCACTACTCAAAGCACCGTCAACACCAAACTGTTTTGTACGACAGCCTTTTGCTGAAAGCATAACAGAGCAAGCATCGTCTTAAAACTTCATATTCTCCACTGGTTTCCCAAAATTCTGCTGCTGCACCTCTGGAGGGATTTCTTGCTTGTCTGTCCTCACATAATGGGCCTTTGCTCCTTCTCCTTAGAAACCTTTCCCATTTCCTTCTCTTCAGAATTCAACTTCCTTCCAGCTTACTCACTCTCAAGCTGACAGAGGCCAACTTCCAAGTACCTACCATGTTTTTATGAAGAAGACCTTGATTCTCTGTTACAGTCCTCTCATTCTAGACCCTACCTGGTGTCCTTAGCTTTTACAAATAAAAAATTGCCTATTTAGCTGGGTTTTTTTTTTTTAAGCAAATAATCACCTACTTCTGAGATGAATGTTGTCTCCAGGATGCCAAAGTTTGTTTCCTTGTTTAACACTATTTTTATTTTTTATATTATGTTATTATCACACTCCAGCAGATTTAAAAAGTACTTAAGAGCTAAAGATATACTAAGTTATACAAATTACGATGAAGAATAATACAAATACAAAATTGTGATGTGTTTCTTTAAATAATGCTAATAAAAATATTGATAAATACAAGTTCCAAATGACTTATAAAAACAGGCGACAACTTTTGGTTTCTAAACTTTGTGTTTTAGAATTGTACATATTTAAAGGCTGCTCAGTTGCTTTGTTTGCTCACAGGTATTTGTGTAGATGCCAGAATTATGTCACAACAGACACAGACAAAAGCACAAATACCCCATTACTTGGGAGGTAGTGAAATATTCTTCTTAATGTTGAAGAAGATTCTTTTAAGAATCTACAAATGCTTGTAATTTAAAAACTGCTTCAATCCATTTCTGTTGAATTGTCAACCTTGTACTGGAGTAGTGCTTTTCAAACTTTAGCGTGTGCAGCAACCACCCAGGAAGATAAGAAGTGCAGATTCCTCTCCCTGCACAAGAGAATCTGTGTCTGATGTCTGATGTGGGGAAAGCAATTCCCATTTGTATAGGCTCCCCGCGTACAGGCTAATGAATGTGATCTTTAGACCACACTCCTTTTCTAGGAATATAGGTGGGTAATTTAAATGGTTTCCAAGTACAAGAAGATTCACGTTACTTCAATTCCAACCACTAAGTGTGGTATCTTAGGACTCTGTTGACCTTTTCTGACAACATAATAGCTCGTTTAATGAACATAAACATCAGGTTCTAAAGTTCCTATGGAGGTAATAATTATATTTTTAAGAAGTATACTTAAATAAATATAATAATGATTTCTAATATTTGCATAGTGCTTTAAATTAAAAACCACTTTAATATATATCTTTTATTTTCACTTCACCTCAAACAGTGGGGCTGGTACAATAATTTAAGATGAGTAAATTCTATAGGTCTCCCAACTCGTCAACAACTCCGAAGGAGTGCCACCAGCAATCAAACTGCTCTCACGTCACGTTACAGCCTCATTTTAAAACCCAGGTAATATTTTTGATTAACTTATGGTTCTTCAGAGAAAGAGGTTAACCTTTAAAAAGTCAGGGTCTCTGTGCTAGGTTGGGATTTATTCATCACAGTTTGTGAAAAAGATTTGGAAAACCTGCTGTTCCTGTGGTGCTACAATCAAGGCATCCTTGAGGAAGTGAGACTGAAAGGCCCAGACATGGTCACCGCGTCCTGCTGTGTGAGGCACCAGCCTCTGCTTTCCGTCAGGGTAACCTTCCCTCACACTCTGAACTATAGTCTATTGACATTTTATCAGAGGTTTCTGTGACCCATGAGTTTAAATAAATCCCTTTTTTGATCCTTTCAAAGCATCTTTTTTTTCCTTCATTGAATTTATCACAGTTATAATTACATAATTTTCCTGCAGTTAATTATTTAATGTCTGTATCCCTGGTAGAATGTGGGCTCCTTTCTCAAAGTCAGGAGCTGTGTTTTGTTAACTGCTGTTAAATTAAGACCCCAGCTCTGTGGCCTGGCATAGAAAGGCAAGTATACACATTTGTTGAATGACGGAAGGAAGGGTTGGAAAATGTCTGACTGGAATAGGTCCCAGTGTGTTTTATTATCAAGCATCAAAGTACACTAGAAAACTGTCTTTGTTGCATGGAGGTGGTCAGGCAAGCTAGGGCTAGTTTTGAAACAGCCATGTTGAGAAGTTCCACTCAATTCACTACATGAATGTAGATGGAGAGTTCAAGACTGACAAGGTAGCTGAAAATATGTTGGCTAAGGAATACTAGAAGCATAAGATGAAACTGCAGTTTAACTGCCTTATGTTCTCTAACTGCCTGGTAGATAGAATTTGTGCTCTAAAACTCTTGACAGCCTCAAATTCTGGAGACTAGGTGGGGATGGTAGAGAGTGTGGGGAGTGGTTGAGGGGAGTTAATAAGTACACACTGGCAGGGCTTTAACAACAAAGGAAGATTTCAGGGGAAATCAGAAACAAACGTGACTCTTAAGTCTACAGATAAAATTATGATTAGATTAAGAAGTAATGTATAAATTAAAGATAACTGATTCTTCCTCCAAAAGATGTTGCCTATTAAAGGGTCTATATGGTCTTAGTGATACTGTTACAACAACTAGTTGCTTTAAAAAGAATTGTATATTTATTTGTATGAATGGAAAGCTGAGTGAAAAAACATCCTAATATCTTTCAACATGTCTGAGAAAACTAATGGTCTACTTACAATACCAAAACAAAGGGAAATTGCAAGATGTGCATGGGTAAGTAAGTCAAAGCCCTGAGAATGAGATGCCTTCTAATTCTATATGAATAATGTACTAACTGGCCCACTGCATAGAAACAGTTCCATAGTTTGGGGTGGTTCTTTAAGGCAGATGGTCACAGTTCTAAGATTTTTTTAGTCCTCTTGTATATCCCTTATAAATTGGTGGGTTGAAACTCAACTAACTTAAAAAGGAGGTGGTCTCAATCTTTTCTTGAAACCTGGGTCTTCTCAATGGCTTGGCTGAGGAATAGAAAATGGAGGACAGCTTTGAGTTTTGTCATACCCTATTATTTCTGAATAAGGGCCTCACTCCACTTGACTGATGAAATTCTACTCCTGAATAATTCATTTGTTTAGACATTCAAAGAACAGTCTATTGGTGCTCAATAAGCATGCTAAATCTGACAGCATTATCAGAGGGCAGTGGGAATCTGCCAACTTCTTTGAATGCCTCTAGAACTGGCTATGACAGTGCCATTCACTCAAACAGTTGGGTTTCAAGTTTTCAGACGTTCAATATTAAGAAGTATGTGAACTCAACATAAAGAAATGTTTTCAACGTATTTGTATTTTACATTTGAGAGTCTGGTAGTTAAGGGAACAGAGTCTGGGGCTAAACTTGTCTGGTTAGTGTCTCTGGTCCATCGTTTTGAATCTATGACTTTGGAAAAGTGACTTAAACTCTATCTGCCTAATAATCTGGAACGGTAAAGTGGGGTAGTAGTAGTGTGGTTATGAAGATCACTCTGAGTTAATTATGTTAATTGCCTTTAAGAGTGTTTGGTGCTAGTAAGAACTATATGTAATTGAGAGTTTTTATTATTCAGTATTAGTAAGTGTATGTATTCATATATTATTGACTGAAGAAATGAAAAAGAGTTGAATTAAAAAAAACCCCTACAACTTTATAACACGTTATTCTGGTGTTTGGAGTTCTTTTTCAGGAGAGGAAGAAATTGTCTTTTAATTTGTTCCGTAAGTGTTTCTCTCTCTTCGGTCTTGTTGCCTCTCTACCTCTTTAGATTTGCTCTTTTGGACAAGACGCCCCATTAAGTTGATACAATTTAAATGGAAACATGTCTCAAAGATTTTTTCTTTTGTATTCATACCTCATGACAACCTGAACATTATATTTATAAATGGAAACCTACAGTTAAATTTGAGTGGCTTCTGAATTTCTAGCCAGTGTGGACTGCGCCTTATATTTATGGGTGTAAAACTTGATCTAATACATGAAGATTTCTAGGATTGTAACAGTATCTGCAGCCATTGTTTAAATTTTATTATTTTTTTCAGTCTTTTGCCCTTTAACATTCTTTTGGAGTGATTTTTCTGCTCTCTTCACAGGTATATTTTCTTACAAAGAGTCAAGAAATTATTTTCCAATGTAAAGCAAAACTTGTTTTCTATATAAGATGAAAGCTAAACTTGAAACACATTACATGTGCAACTCTAATTAACGCTACCTACACATCTCGTCTTTCACTTGAGTGATATCCTAAGTGAAATCTTTAAATATGGTTTTATTCTTTTTCATCCACAGGGATCGATGCTTGTAGATTTGGATCAAAGTATACTGTGGTTCAGATCACTCTCTCTGTTTCTTTTTTTATTTTTTTCCTGCAGTTTATTGCTTTTGCTTCCTTATTCTTCATCCTGGTTTCAATCACAACCTTTTGCCTGGAGACACATGAAGCTTTCAATATTGTTAAAAACAAGACAGAACCAGTCATCAACGGCACAAGTGTTGTTCTACAGTATGAAATCGAAACGGATCCTGCCTTGACATATGTAGAAGGAGTGTGTGTGGTGTGGTTTACTTTTGAATTTTTAGTCCGTATTGTTTTTTCCCCCAATAAACTTGAATTCATCAAAAATCTCTTGAATATCATTGACTTTGTGGCCATCCTACCTTTCTACTTGGAGGTGGGACTCAGTGGGCTCTCATCCAAAGCTGCTAAAGACGTACTTGGCTTCCTCAGGGTGGTAAGGTTTGTGAGGATCCTGAGAATCTTCAAGCTCACCCGCCATTTTGTAGGTCTGAGGGTGCTTGGACATACTCTTCGAGCTAGTACTAATGAATTTTTGCTGCTGATAATCTTCCTGGCTCTGGGAGTTTTGATATTTGCTACTATGATCTACTATGCCGAGAGGGTAGGAGCTCAACCCAACGACCCTTCAGCTAGTGAGCACACGCAGTTCAAAAACATTCCTATTGGGTTCTGGTGGGCTGTGGTGACCATGACCACCTTGGGCTATGGGGACATGTACCCCCAGACATGGTCAGGGATGCTGGTGGGAGCCCTGTGTGCTCTGGCTGGAGTGTTGACAATAGCCATGCCGGTGCCTGTCATTGTCAACAATTTTGGAATGTACTACTCCTTGGCAATGGCAAAGCAGAAACTTCCAAGAAAAAGAAAGAAGCACATTCCTCCTGTCCCTCAGGCAAGCTCACCTACTTTTTGCAAGACAGAAGTAAACATGGCCTGCAATAGCACACAGGGTGACATGTGTCTGGGCAAAGACAATCGGCTTCTGGAACATAACAGATCAGGTAAGGCACAACTTCAATTGCATGCTGTTAAATTCTTTATAGACCAGTATGTCCCTTAGGTAGAAGGCAACTGTTTTCATTTTCTTCAAAAGTTCATGAGTTTTCAGTTCTCCCCCCTCACAGAATATGTTTGTGTCAGGCTTGTAGACAGCTAGACTGTAGTTTTTCTAAATGAATTCCAAGTAGAAGTCTACATAGCTGGTCTATAGAGTTTTCCTGCTTTAGTGGGAATGCCCTTTGCTGATGGTGCCAATATTTTCTTTTGCCTATTTGTTGCTTTTGTGCCAATGTTTCTTTGTTTCCCTGCATGATGTGATGGTATGATATTGGACATTTTTCGTTCTTCATCCTCAAAATGTTGATCTTCATATCATTTGGCTTGGTGTGTTTGTCTCAGTTTTATCTCTGCCACATGGGGCAGTGTGTCTCAACCTAAGTCTCAAGAAGCAGTTATTTAAGAAGAATGGATGTTTATGTTTCAAAGGCCTAAACACCAAAGAGGTGATGTGGAAAATAGCCCTTTTGATAACAAAAGTCTTCCCTAGTAATATTCTGGAGGATTGATTAAATTTTCATTATTCTTAAATTAGATAGGGCATTCAATATAATTCCTTTGGATTGGGCAAGGCGCTATGTAATATAATCAACTCACCATCATTCTGGGGATAGATGATATGCTTTGGCTAATCAATAGCAAGGTTGAATTTCTCTGTAGATTTCCATTTTATGCACTATGCGTGGGGCTCTCTTCCCTCCCAGAAGTGAAATTTGGGTGACTTACTGCTTGAGACTAGCTGAATCCCTGCTCCTGTTCGTTGCTGTAGATAACCTAGAGTAGATTGACTATAAATTGATATTCACTTTGCTGAAGTGATAGTCAGTAGTGTCATCTCTAGTCTGTTATGTCTGGTACACATGAAATATTTTGTAGATTAAACAATTAGCTTCTAGCCCACCATGAAAATTTAGGATATATGCATTCCCTGTAATTTAGATATATTTGATCTTTTTCTTGTAGAAAAGTGACTTATGATAATCCCATGTAAATAATTTTGCATAATTTAGAAATAACACCAAGTAAACAAAACAAGCAAACAAACAAACACGAAAGACATTTTCATAGGTTTCCTCCTTAAATTACATAATATTTTACAGAGTGAGTGGAAAAAAATTTGTGGCTGAACATGAACTGCTTTTTAAAGATTTTATTCACAATCCTTATGTTCAGTTAGTAGGTTGTTCTGCAAATTCTGTCAATGTATGTCTGAAACCCTTTATGCCAAGAATGTCTTTATGAAATGTGTTTAGCTGGTGTTGCTGGACTCTTCAGGCTGTTCTCAGAGTACCTGTGCAGAGCCCATATGAAGGGCACAGAAAAGGAGGACACACTCTCAGCCTAGGCAAAGATTGTGAAAACAAGCTAGTATCGAGGCGGGTAGGATGTGGACGTCTGTGGCAAGTGTAAAGTAACCAGTTGGTTCAAGGGCATTTGGAGAAGTTGATCTTTTTCCATTGTTATGCTCAAAAATATTTTTGTCACTTCAAAATGGAGAAGGAGGACACAAAGTTTGTGAGCTTTGGGATTATTTTATTAATTATTCTATTAATTTATAAATTTTATTTTAATAAAATTTATTTTATTAATTTGGGAAAAATTACTTTCAGCAAACAATAAAAGCGTGTCTTTTAAAGAACTGCAATGACAAGTATTTACTTAGGAGTTTCTCCTTAAATAGGCTCCACTTTTAAAGATTCCTATTCACAGCAACTAGATAGCATGTCAAAAATTGTAAGACACTAATTTGTGTGCTACTTCATTATCATGCTTATTTTGAATTCATATTGGTTTTGTGAAAGTCGATTTCCTATTAGATAGAATCCAAAATGGAATTAAAATTTCCTAAAGAACATTTCTCCCCTTTTTAATACATTTCCATTTTGCTCCATGTAAATTTCTGGAATGAGTGATGAAAATTCTTCTTCTTCTCATGACGTGATTATTGTGTTTTGTATATGGAGTGACTGTATTATGGACATTCGGTGTAAACTCTCTGTCCTGTCTCATTTCCTCGTCCATCACTGTCTGTCAATGGGCATGGTGCTGTGACCAGTGTTATCAGGTGACGACAGTACAGGAAGTGAGCCGCCGTTATCACCCCCAGAAAGGCTCCCCATGAGACGCTCTAGTACCAGAGACAAAAACAGAAGAGGGGAAACATGTTTCCTACTGGCGACAGGTGATTACACGTGTGCTTCTGATGGAGGGATCAGGCAAGGTAGGCATGCATTTAATCAGATCCTAACAGGTGACTTAGCTCAAATTAAGTGTTGCAAGTACATGGAGTGATGTAAAATACTCTTCCATCAATTTCTAAGAAAGACTGCACGTAGGGCTCCTCTCTCCTCATCACATCTTCTCTCATTATAAACATTTAAAAATACATATCATAACAGCCTACTTGATTGTCGGAAAGGCATTTCACTCTTCTCCCTTTTTTTAGTTTTTTGTTTTCCCATTTGTCTATGGGCAGGACTGTAATGGAGTATTTAAAAATTAGGTCACTCTTCTAATTATTTTAATGTAATGTATTCAGCCGTCTTTAAAAGTTATCTTTTTTCCTACAAAGAGTAAAACTCACTATTGACTCTATGTGTATATTTGATAAGCAATTGATGATTATAAAACAATAATAAGCCTTTTTCAAAGTAAAGCATTGAACATACTCTATTTAAGTCTCTTATCCAGTATTTGGGCAATTTCCCCCAGTGGTTTATCTGAATGTCAGAAGGTTTACAAGGGTCCAAGATCCTCCACTGTAAAGAATGGTATATCCAATCACTGAAAGGCCACTTATGTGCTTACAAAACATACTTACGGAATTTCCCTTCCAGGCAATAATAATAATTTTAAGTTGATCACTATTTTTCAATCTACACTAAACAGTGCCTGGCACATAGAAGATAATCAAAAATATTTGTTGAATGAATAAATGTTACTGAGTAGGCATCTTGGTTAAGGAAAATAACAGAACACTGAAGCTCCCCTCCTTCACGTGGTCCCGTCTTCCTAGGTTGTGCCACCATCTATGACTATTTCTCAGGTGCTGTTTATTGTTTCTGCTTTTGATTTTTTCTTTGAGTACATTTTGCAGATCAGGACAATTGGCTCTTTTTCCTCCTCCTTAAGAAATAGGAGACACTTCTAACCTACCTTTGTCACAATGTTGGCCTGCTCTTTGCTTCCCTCCTGCTTTGATAATTCCAATTGCTTTATTGCTATGGCTGTTTTCCCCCTGTTTATTGACAGAATAGAGAAAGAACTCTAATAATTTCTTATGCACTTGAATGAATTTGAATGAAAAGCCATTCCAAAACTTTCACATTAGTGCAAGTGCATTTTAAAAATATTGTGCTTATTTGCTATTCACTGCAGTTTCTCCCTATTGAATACTTTACCATGTTGAGCCTCAAATATTCGTTTTGTGCTTCTGTCTGTCTTTGAAATATCTCATTACACATGTTGTACTTCTCTTTCATTCCTTCTGAACACTTTATATTGTCCTTTCTGTCTCCCTGCTTTTGAGTATCAAAAGGGATGACAAAGGACTCTTCTTTTGTTTATTCAGTGTGTGATATTTTAAATACTTCATTCCATTTATTTCCATTCTGTGCATCTGTTGCTTGCATCAAAATGTGCTTCAATTATCTGAATAGGTTTGTTTCATTGTTTCCTTTTTTACATTTAAATATTATGTATTAGAACAATTTTAAATATTTTATGAAGATAGTTTATATCCTATCATACTATCAAGTATCAATACTTGAGCAAAATATGTGTTCATATATTAAATAATGATAATAATACCTTACATAGAACATAATATTTAAGTGCATTGCATACCTTAACTCACTATACATGTATATACGCATATATGTGTATATATGTATATATATGTATTTATATGTAATATGCGGTTCAATTTACATATGTTATGAGTATCATTCAATAAAGTATCACATGCAACATCTAAACTAAGGTTATGTGTTTAATAACTTAGCTAGAATTTTCTTCTTCCATGTTAGACAATATTTTGAATTTTAAACTGTCAAATGAGACACATATGAAAAAGACACTGCAAGTTTAAAATACTGTGTTAATATAGAGTTTTTCTGTAAAATGGCAAAGTTTCATGAGCAAAGCAATTAATAAGATATTTAGTTTGTGTGGAAAAGTTATACATGCAATTTTTAGTTCACAAATATAAATTCTCTTTATCAATGAGAATGTCTTTGAGACTTCATTAATACCTTTTTATTTTTCATCATTTCTCACCATAATCAACTTCTTTTTCATTCTTGCTTAATTCCTTTGCAGCTTTGTGTTTTTTCTCCTGGGTCTGGCAACAATTCTGGCTAGCTTCACTTGCTCTTCTTAGTGTGTTATCTTGTCCTGTCTATCAGAAGTTCATTCATTTCTTCTTCTGCTTCCTTTTATGTAGGTTGTAGATGTCTCCTATTACTTCTACTCAGATGTTTATTTCCCATGTGATCCCTTCTTCTACCTTTCAAGTTGGTCTCTCTACTGATTTGATTTTGGAGTTATGAAAATTCTCCTCTATATAGATGAAAAGAAACAACTGGATTCCAATTGAATTCTTTTTCAATCAACAAATATAAATATAGATGGGCATACGTTAAGAAATCTTATAGATTTCCTGAAAGAGTGAACTCTCAATCCTTACAACTCGTGTTTTTATTTATGCAATAGTTTTTAGGAAATCATATTACATAAACAAAAACATTCCCATTGATAGTATATGGAAGGCAGTTTCAATATTGCCTGAAATAAGTATATGCTCTTAAAAACTGTATAAAACGTACACCATGTATTTTGATGTTAATTGAAGCTAGGTTCAATATTGTTTATTCTCATGAATTATGTTTTCAGCTATTCCATTCAGTAAAATTTTGATTAGACAAAATTTATCAAATTTTCTAATTAGAAATGAACCTGCAGAATGAACAAAACTATATTTCTGTGAATAACTTATAATTTTGCTAATTAAGTACTTGTTACTAAATTAGAAGGGAAACTTTTTCAAATGGACACAAATTATAGTTATTAAAAATAGAGGACCTATAAAGAATGGATAATATTTATGCTAAAAAGTATAATTCACATAAATAACTGAACGTTTAGAATGGCAACCAAGATTTACATATAACTAGCATGATTAATATAAGACTGTCAAACATATTTTTACCTTTTTGGAGGTCCTGTAGAAAGCTTGGAGATTGTAGGGGAAAAGATGTAAATTTTTGTAAGGATGAGTTATAGGTATTAACAACCTCTTTGGTTCATGCATATTCACCAGTTTGCTTTTAATCAAAACCAATCAATGTTTAATAGTCCGGTTTACGTTTTTAGGTTACACAGTCAACTTGGATAAATTATTCTTTCTACAGTTCTCAAAGTTAGATTTCCAACTGCATTACGGAAGAGCAGTAATAACTAGCCCTCCAGGCACGGGAAGGTCCCAATGTAAGGATAAATGGTCTGCAAGTCTTTTTAAATTATTTAAGACATCTTCCCATTAACTATTTCATCATCCACCAAAACAGAATGAAATATATACCACTTTCCATGTTTTATAGCTCAGAATACTAACAAAACACCTTGGCAGATAAATCTCACATTACCAGAAATTATGTCCTACAGAACTTTGCCGTAGTTAACAGATGGCATAAATTTCCATCTACAAAATCTCGAAGAAAACATCTAGTCTGCTGACAGTTTGTATGTGTGTACATGGGGAGGGGTTCCTATTAGTCCAGCCTTACCTCGTAGTAGAGTTATTATTGCAATCCATGCCCATATATGTCCTGGGCACTCAAAAATCAAATAATCACTAAATCACTTAAATCACTTCTCCACTTCCAGTAAAAGAAAGAGAGATAGCAATGGCTTCCTCCCCAGAAGTTCCGTGAAAATATAAAGTTACGGAAAGAAGTAGCTGGGGAGGAACACGAGGAAACACGAAAGGCCCATTTTCTTTCTTAGACGGTCGTCAAGCACACTGAGGGCTAATCAGGGCCCAAGGAGTGTGCCATAAGTCTAAGGGAGACAAGAAGTTCACTGGAATTCCATCTAATTACTCAGCTTTGGCTGCCCAACAGAATTTCATTTTCCTGCTCTGCAACACTTTGTCAATGGAGCCGTCAGAACATTTATTTCCTAAGCTGTATAATAGGACTGCTTTTCACTCAATAGTTCCCCGCTTTTTTAGGCTGTTCACTTCTAACTTTACACTATGTGCTTCCCACTTCATTTAACTGCCTCTGATATTTTCTTTAAAAAACACTACAATATGTGAATCTTTCCAAAGGTGACCTTGATGGGGTATGGCTTGAGTAGCTAAGACAAGCCATTGGTTTAAAGTTTGTGAGAAGGATCTTTTATTCTGTAATGTCATGACTATCATGAACAAAAGATTAGAATGCAAGATAACAGAAAGAAAAGGTGAATTAGGATCAAATTGTTTTCAATTCCTGGCAGAGGGGAGTCAGCTGAAAACTGAAAATCATGTAATCAAGTTCAGACTTTAATTCACTGAAATTATGATTCAATTTATATTTCACTCATCTTCTTTTTTTTTTTTTTTTTTTTTTACTTTTTTATCCAAGGAATTAGAAATGGGCATTCATTCCACATCATCTAGGTAATGGCATGAAATGCCATTATTTAAGAATCATCCTTTTGACCCTATAAAGCTGGAAGATTAAATATGCTGGAAAAAGACTTGTCCACCTAAAGTTAAGCATGCTTTACTAGTTTAGTAAATAAAAACACAATGAGAAGAGAAAAAGTAGCTCATTTTTTTTTCAGGAACCTATTTTGAAATTTAAAAATGTTAGCCAAGTTTGTATCTTACTTAAGTTTCTTTGCCTAATTCTTAAAAGATTTCTGGTATTGTGTATGTGAAAATTGCATCAATACAAACTATAATCTAGCAAAGAATAGATTTTGAAGTATTGCAACTGTAATTTGTGATGACTGGTTTAATCTTTTGGGAATGACAGTTACAGAGAGCTTCATATTTTTTGAGTTATAAATTGTCTCAATACTGAATTATTTGTAAACAAATTCTTCCTGGAGCTCAAAAATAACACTTTTGATTACCCTGCATGGTATTGTTTGTCTGTGTCTATTTTCTGGTTGAATTCAACTGATGTCTGTGCATTTTCTCATGAAAGGATATGAAAAATCCCGAAGCTTAAACAACATAGCGGGCTTGGCAGGCAATGCTCTGAGGCTCTCTCCAGTAACATCACCCTACAACTCTCCTTGTCCTCTGAGGCGCTCTCGATCTCCCATTCCATCCATCTTGTAAACCAAACTGTATCTGCCAGCTAAATTGTGTTAATTCAACTACTGTTTACCCCATGATGGAAATAATTAAATGTAGAGTTACCCCAGCCTCCTTTAATACAGTATAAATCTTGCATGATACTACTATTTGAAGTCAGAATGCCATTTTGGGTAGCTAACACATCTTATCCTGGCTTTCAAGGTTATCTAAAGTAGTGCTACTACTTCTCTGTATAAATTGTCCTGATCTCCTTTTGCAATAAAATGACAGATAGTATCAGAGATTGGCTGGTTCACTAATACATAAACATATCTTCAGGGAGATACATTTAAAACAGTGTGCTTCCAAATGCTGACCACTTCATTGGACCTTCATGTCTTGTGACTCTGTAAACCACTCTGAAGATGTCTGGGATCCTATCTTGGTTATACCCAACATGACTCTGGTCACCTCATTTGCATGGACCACCTTGTCTCTATCACCTGAAACAATGTCGCAGCGTTCGGGAACTGTGGATGGCTCAGGATGTGTGTACTTGCCTTGAACCATCCTGCTGATATGAAAGCACTGGTGACTGGTCTGCATGTTGAATTATGGGGCATGGGGGTGTGTTTCTCCGTGACATTTTTTCCCCTTATTTTTTGAAAGAAATATTTATTTTAAATAGTTTACCTTTTTGATTGATTTAGTTGTCTTCAAAAATGCTGTATTGGAGTTCTGAATGTCTCTGGTTGTTTGCACACAGATAACTGCCAAGAGCTTGTCATTACTGGTTACATGAAAGCTGAGGCCAGATCTTTTACTTAATGGCTTGGGGAAGGCACAAAACCTGAGAGAAAGGTAACTGCCAGCCAGGCTTGTATTGTTTAGCCAGGAACTGCTGCTTGGTACTAGAGTCACTTTTTTTTCATCAGGATTTGTCATCATTTTCAGAGACAGAGTGCCAAACATCACCCAAAGCTCTTATGTGGTTTTTTTACCCCGTTCTTTTATTTTAAAGTTTTGTCCAAATATCAAAGAACATTGTTGTTCAAAGGAAGCTTTCTTGACCAGCCTTAAATTTCTGACACACAGGATTAATCAGACTTTCAAGCAGTGTTTAATCAGGTGCTTTGTCCTGGATGTTGTTCTGTCTGTCTGTCTTAACTGTATATGCCATCTGTCTCCATGAAGCACAGAAATGCCTTGATCAGAAGTTCATGATTTTAGTGCTGGGTTTTTCTCCCCCGCCCCCTGCCTTCTTTGCTACTTGGAACAGCCTCTCTGCTTTGTGTGTATATTAATGATGCCCTTAAACTACCTATGTTAAGCAGTACTGTGACCCTGTTGGATAAGCAGGATTTAAGCAGCAGCAGCAGCATTGCGTTTGGTTGCCTGCTGCCGTGTCCGTTTCTACTACCTAGCAACCAGCACTCGTCACTACACTCCAGCGAAACCCCTAGGGAGTCTTATTCAGTCCAACTGGAAGAAATTCTGTTTACACAGCCCTATGAATGCACAAGCAATAGTGTTTCTGGTGTGTTGGGCATGTAAGGGAAGAAAAATGCCATAATTATAAATTGAGAATTAAACAATATTTCTAAGGCATTCAGGAGCTTTGAGATTGTTAATTCCTAATTCTCATGTTTATTTTTTGTTAGAAAGAAAATTGTCACTTTTTTTATTGGCCATGTAACATGTATTACTCTATCCTCAAGTCCTAGAGCATGACCTGCATGTCAGAGATCTTGTACAGCAATGTATTTACCCAGACGTATACATCTGATATTTAGAGATTAAGTGATCCTTTTGATAAAACCACACATAGCTATAACTACCCACAGCTTTATGGTGAAGGAATTAATATACTGTCTGGTGCTGCTGTTATTGACTGCAGTGTTGTACAGAATTTATCATGGATTTTTGACTGCTGAAAAAGGGACAGTGGAACTTAGCCACACCAAGGACTGTACTGGAAACAGACTTCTACTGCTGAATGTGCCCTGATGTGACCAGGTTGCACTCGGAAGAGGCCCCGCGTCTTCATGAGGCACTTAAAGCTTATGAAAGAACCGTGGCTGGAACTCATTGGGTGCTCCCCATATGAGTGATCCGTTTGTGGACTGGCTGGTGTCCATGAAGTAATTGTAAATATCAACATGTGTGCACAGGTCAACAGCTTTGGCCATTTCACATCAAAGGAAGCCAAATTCATGATCAACATCTTGAAGCGTCAAGCAAGGCCCGTACCTCTGTGAGTCACCCATCGTGGGCCTGCAGTAGATTGTGCTGTGACTCATACAAGGCAGTGATACTGGTGTAGTGTAGATCTTAATTTCCCTTACTTCTTGTTTGTTGGTTGAATCTATGAAATTGACTATCATTTTCTTATAAACCACTCATGTTATCAGCTTGTCATATTATGTTGTGAAATATTCAGTGCCTATTTATCAAAACTGACCTATCCTTAGTCACATATTTGTTTAGTTCTTAAAAATTGTTATGACAAAAAAAAATCTCACCGTTATTCATAGTTTAAGTCTTTTGTCATTGTTACCTCAAATATAAATATTACAAAAAAATAAATTCTGTCAATGAGAGTATTTTTTTATTAAATGATCAAGGAGCAATGTCAGTATATAGTAGAATATTAATCAAATTATATCCTAAAATGTATATTTTGCATAAAAGAGATATTCTTCAATCGATTACTTTTTTGTGAGTTTTATGGCAAATGAAGCCTGTATTTGTCTTTAAAACTGTTGTAGTTAAAATTGTATAAGAATTCTTCGTCTTGCTTAATCAGTGTTTGCAGAATCTCTTAGTTGCCCTGGGATTCTGAATGTTACATATAATCTGATTATGAGCCCCTGCATCGTGGATCTTTTGTGAACATTTCAAGGTGCATGCACAACCTTGGTGACAACTGATGGAAATGTAACTAACTGAAATGAAGAATAAAAGGCAAATAAGCTAAGGATAAACTTGAATCCTATCTGATTAAATTATTCACATTCTTTCTTGGCTCTTCTCTTTGTTTTGGAGTTTTCAACGGGCTTTACTATTTTTATGCTTCATGGTACCAAACTAGACACTCATACATAAGAAAGAATTTAGGTTGAAAAAGGATTTAAACATTCATGGCTCACATTTTCATTCAAGTCTTAGGCACATACCCAGTGTTTTCCTCTTCTAAGTGCTTTACTTGCCTAAATTTCTGTTATAATTCTGAGACGGCAAAATTATTATTATGGTATCTGATATTCATATGGTGTTTTATGACTAATACTGAATGTTCACTTACACTTTCCAACTTAATCATCACAGCATTTCTGGAGGTAAATACGTTTTTGTTTTCTTGGTGGTGAAGTTAAGGATTACAGAGGCAGAACTGTTCTCTTATATTTTTGCCACCGACAGTCTTCCCTGCTGTAGTTCCTTACGGCTTGAATATTTGCCAAGCCTCTTGTTGTAAACGCCTTATCTTCTAAAGATGGCTTCCGGCTCGCTCTGGATGACGCACCTCTGTTTCAGCAGCACATCACATGTAGCTGGCATTCTGTTTACACTGTGGGGTTATATATAAATTTACCCTGTAAAATTCTGTGAAATTCTCAGGATTAGGGGAAAGGTAAAATGAAAATGAGAAATAAGGGTAGTGAATCCAACACTTTTGCATCGTGTATAAACAGAACCTTTTCTATGTCTGAAAGTGCTCAGTGTTGATTATTAAGAGAGTATTAAGAAACTGAGTTCAGAAAAGGGAATCTGTCTAAACATGATTACTTTTAAAATGTTTTTTAAACAATGGTGTCAGGATGTAGGGTTTACTATAAAAAGGAAAAATATGTGTAAAGGGGAAAGAATGCACTTTAATAGAAGATAATTGCCATCAAACTTTGATTAAAAAAATCAAGATTGCCTAGTCATGAAAGAAAAGTGACGATACTCATTTTATCTTTGAAATAAATCACAAGACGGACTAATGGAATAGCCATAGTGAAATTATCTTGGAAAGAGACAATGAATATGTTAAAAGGCTGTATTCCAGAGCAGGGACTCTGGATGATTTATAGCGTGCTTGAAGACATTTAGAGCTAAATGAATCTATTAAAATATTGAAATCCTTAGCAGTGTATGATGATTAAAATACGTGGCTTAAAATTTTTCTTTACTGAAAAACACTGTCTCCCTTCCTTCCAATTTCCTCTGCCAAAATTCACTTAATTGCTTAAATGCTTGAACATTATTAAACTATAGATTTATATTAATTCTCTGTAATATGGGTTCAGTATCATTAATTTTGGCCTTGAATTTTGTAATTTTCTGTTCTCCCCTAAAGTAACTGTTTTGAGGATATGGTATTTTTCATTACTGTCTAAAAATTAAATAATTTAATTGAATTAGTATTATCCAATTTCTTTTTTCAATTATCACACTGTCATGTCAAAGTGACAGACCACTGAATATGCGTTTTGAACACTAAGATCTTCAAAGATTGTGGTGACCTCCATTGACAATCCCAGGTCGCCTAACACTCAATTTTTTTTTTTAAATAGACTATATTTTAAAGCAGTTTTAGGTTCACAGCAAAATTAAGTGAAAAGTACAGAGTTCCCATCGACCCTCCCTGCCCCCGCAGTGCACAACTTCCCCCCGATCTGTATCTCACCTCAGTCGTATATTTGTTATAATCGATGACCCTACACTGACACATCCTTATCCAAAGTCTAAGTTTAAGTTAGAGTCCATTCCTGGTGTTGCACATTCCATGGAATTTGACAAATGTATGATGACTTATACCCATTATCGTAGTATCATACAGAGTGGTTTTACTTTCCTGAAAGTCCTCTGTGCTCTGCCTGTTCATCCCTCCCTTCCCCTTAACCCTCGGCAGCCACTGATCTTTTCACTGTTTCCCTAATTTTGCCTTTTCCAGAATTTCATATAGTTGGAATCATACAGTGTGTATTCTTCCCAGACTGGCTTCTTTCACTTAGTAATATGCATTTAAGGTTTCTCCATGTCTTTTCATGGCCTGATCGCTTATTTCTTGTTAGTGCTGGATAATATTTCACTTTTGGATTGTACCATAGTTTACCCAGTCACCTCCTGAAGGACATCTTATTTGCTTCTAAGTTTTGGTAATTATTAGAAACATTCCTGTGCAGGGTTTTGTGTAAACAAAAGATTTCAATTTGTTTGGGTAAATAACAATGAGTGCAATTGCTGGATCCTACGATAAGAGTACATTTAGTTTACACATTTTTTATTTGGTCCTCTGACATAGTTAGTGAAACTACACTTCTCCTAATTCATCTTCTCAATGCCAATCATGTGCACCAAACATGTGTTGCTTATAAACCTGTCACTGCACTTCCAGTTGCAAATATATTGGTTGGTTATCCACCAGCAGATTCGTTCTCTTTAAAAATAAAGTTGATTTATTTTTTTTTTACAAAAGATAGTAAAAGCTCTTAGAGAAATCAATAGAAAGAAAAAAGTTAACTATAATTCCATAATTTTCAACTCTACAAACCAATTCTTTTTATTTCATCAATTTACTTTTTTCCCCTTTGTTATTCTCATTTTATAATATTAACATGTATGCATATGTGTGAGAGTGTGTATTTAACCTATCATTCAAGTCAAGCTCCAATTTGGCCTACTATCTTTCTAGCCTCAGTTCATTCTTGCTCATGAACTGTGTTCTGACTATGTGCATGCTCATGGAGGCACCCCAGGGCAGCACAGATGAGTAAGACACCATCTCTGCCATTGAAGAACTCCATCTACTGCGTTGATCTCTAATCTTGGCTCTGCATCAGAAAAATTGCCGATGCCCTTTAAAGTAACAAATCCCTGTGTTCCACTCGTAAATTTTTTGAAGTTATTTCTGAGACAAGCCTTAGACGTATATTATTTAAAAGGAAAGTCTTAGTATATGTATTATTAACAAACGAAACAAGGAACAAACAGTCCTCCACAAGTGTTTCTCTCATCTAGCGTGGCCTATAAATTCTTTCCTAAACATTTTTTTCACATTGTCTTAGCAATTAAAGTGTAAAAAAGATGTATGATTTGCTTTTAGGTTGATATTCCAAACATACCCATTCCCCTAAGCCATTCATGATTTCTGTTATAATAGAAAGCTATTATAAATTCAAAAGCATTGACCATTTTGTGCATATCCATTTTTATTTTATTTTTTCTCAAGGAGGGTTTTTGCTGAAAATTATTTTAAGAATGGAATTATTGGCTTAAAGAGTATGAACAATTTTATAGCTATACTTTAAAAACTACTGTTCAGTAGTCATATAATGTTGCATTTCATCAGTAATAAATGAAATTAATTTTATCAGAACAACTTTCTTAGCTGCATTATAATTTGAAAAAAGTTTCTTTTGCTTGGAGTAATTTTATGCATATGATTAAAGATATCAATGTCATGTATTTTGGCAATGGTTAATTATTAATACTCTTTGATTAAGTTCAAAATATAAAAACTAGCATGAATTGAACTATTATAGATTTTAGAAAATGATACCTTTACTTACTGTATAGGTTAGGTAGTCTTTTACTTGCAGATCAGGTGAGTAGATTTTTTAAGAAATTCTTCTTTTCAGTCATCAAATGTGCTTCCAAATTTGACTCATCATTGTTTGTAAAATATTGTGTAGGTATTATAAATCCACAGACTTTATACTTTCATCCTTCAGCATGTTTCTTATAATAAAAAAAATGAGATAAGGACATCCACGTAACTCAAATTCAAATAACTTATTTTTGAGGGAAAATAATTTTTTTTGAATCTTTGTTAAATTTGGTAAACACTTAGAATTTTTCCTATGAGCCAGGAAGAGTTAGCATCACAGCAAAATGAATAAAATACTCTGGCGTTAGAGAACATTTCACATTTATCTAGGAGTAGTGAATAGTGACGGAACAGCTACTGCATGAGAATGACTCAATATAATTTGAATGTGGTAGTTCCTGAAAAATTTGGTTAAACCTTTCTTTAATCAATAGTCTCAGTGGTTTTTTAAAATTTCCTTTTGACATCCTTTAGCAATGACCTAAAATGTTATTTAAAACAAAGCCTTTCTTAATGGCCAAGAGATGCTATGTTACCTAAAGATATGCTTAATTTGCTGATCAAAAACATAACAAAAGAAAACAAAACAAACCAAAGCCGTAACTTTATTGCAAAGGATTAAGCATGAAGTCAGTACCTCAGGACTGATGGTATATTCCTTTTTCTTTTCTTTTCCTTGAGAGCTCACATTTTACCAGTCACTTCGTCTCTCTGGGAACAAAAGATAGTGGTTTAAATGCTCTGCATGACGTTCTCTCCTGTTGCAGGAGCTGCTCCTTATCGCTGGTTGCTGGCAGGAAGCTTATAAAAATTACAGGAATTCTAGTTGGATGGCTGGTAGAGGGCTCCAGAATCTAAGATAATAATGATTAAGAAACACACATACACACAGCTGGAGATACAGAGACGAAGAAAAGACAGAAGATGAAGCAGCAAATACTGAATATTGCCTGAAGCAAGGTTGTTTAGTGTGAAATAAACAAAAAGATAAGTCAAGGGTAAAGAAAGAATTCTGTAATTCTGCTTCATAAACCACGTTAGATAAATTCCACACAAAATGACCAGATACTCTTCTCAATGGAGACCTTGAAAGGCTTGCATCGCATCATAGGGAGGCCAGCGAAGAGGCAACCAATTTTTACATTTCCTAACAAAAAATGAATTTAGACTACTTTATCTTAGAGGCCCTGTTTTTACTTTCTTCTTTTACTTTTGACAAAGAAATATCCGTTCATTACATTTACATTCATATTAAGGTTAAATGCTTTCAGAATCAACCAATGACTGCCAAAATATAAAATGTTGCTGGCTTTATTTTGTTTTGACCTGTGTAAAATGTATTTGCAGGAGTCTTTGGTTTCTTATTTATTATAAGAGCACAATGTAATGAGAAGCTACTGCTGAGAACATAGACCTTGTAACGTG